GTGTGGTACCAGGGTTGGAACTCAGGGCCTCATGCTTGAACTCAGATACTCTACCACTTGAGTCACTCCACCAGCCTCCACCAGCCCTTAGATACTGTTTGTTCATGTTTAGAAACTTCATCGTTCTTGCTCTATTTGGTTCTTTTTTTTAAATAGATTTATTTTTCTACTGGGATTCACATCTCTTGTTCTTTGCTTTCCTTTAATTCTTTCAACATGTAGATAATAGTTTTAAAATAATTTGAATGATAAAATCTAATAACTCTGATCATCCTTTTATTTCTTTATTGGGGCCATACTTTCCTACTTCTTCTCATGCCTTTAAATTCTTTATTTTATGTTGGACATTGTGGGCTGGAGGTATGGCTCAAAGGGTAGAGCACCTGCTTTGTAAGCATGAAGTCCTGAGTTTAAACCACCAGTACTGCCAAAAAAATCATATGTTGGACATTGTACATGGTATGCTGTTAGGAAATCTGTCTTAATATAAATGCTGAATTTTGGTTTGGCAGACAGTTATATTACTGGCAAATCCACTTGATCTTCACAGAGTTTATGTTAGGCTTTGTTAGAGTAGGTTTGTGATTACTTTGCCTTAAACTCAAACCTAGGTATAGAACATACCCTCAGTCAATGGCAGGGTCCTTACCCCTACAGCAGGACTTTTTGGAATTCCAGCTAAACACCTGGGAGCTTACGGTGGTATCTCCATTCTGCCTGAGCTCATAGCCTAATTATTCCTACCCCTGCAGGAATTCTGCTATGTCCTTTTAGGTTTCTATCCCCCTACTTTTCCACCTTCTAGTAGCTCTGTTCCTGTGTTCCTTAGACATGTGTAGCCCAGACTTTGGCCCAAGCACCAAGGGGAAGCCCCACACAGACTTCTGGGGCCACTCCTTCTCTTCAGAACTCTGCTCCGAAAATTCCACCTGCCTCAGTAACCCCACACTGGTCTCTGCCTTGTCAGCTAAGCAAGACTGCTGCTCCCTGGATTGTGTCCCACCTCCCTGAGCCATGGTCTGGAAAGTATCTCCAGGGAGGTAGACAGAAAGTGGATCTCACTTCAGTTTTCCTTCTCTTAAAATCCATAGCCCCGTTCTATAGTCCAAACCTGAAAGCACTTGCCTCACATAATTCTTCCAATGTTAAAGCTGTGTGTGGAGGGAAGGTGAGTCTCATGCTCTCTGTTCTATTGTGACTGAAAGCAGAAGTCTAATCAATGCTTCTTTTTGTTCAATTTGGTTAATTCACATACCACAAAGTTCACAGATGGTCAGTGTTCAGTGAGTTTTGGCAGTCGTCACACCCTGCTAACCACCACCTGCTGTGCTGCTTTCTGTCACAATGCCATTAGTGCCTGCCCCAGAACTCTGTGTAAATGCAGTCACACAATATAAACTTTTTTACATCTGACATTTTTGCTCAGCATAATATTTTTGGGATGTGTCCATGTTGTTGAATATATCAGTAGTTTGTTCTTTTTAAAATGTAGAATAGTAATCCATTATAATATACGTGTCACATTTCCATGCTTCTGTTTGGGTAGTTTTCAGTTTTGGACTATTAAGAACAAAGCTACTGTGAATAGTCTTTCAGTACTGGGGTTTGAACTCAGGGCCTCATACTTGCTAGACCAGCGCTCTTCACTTGAGCCATGACACCAGTCCTTTTGCTTTTAGTTTGTTTTTCAGATAGGGCCTTGAACTAACTTTTGCCTACACTGGTCTTGAACCACGATCCCCCTACCTCCACCTCCTGAGTAGCTCGTATTACAGGTGTCTGCCTCTACACCTGTCTAGAGCTAATATGAATATTCTCATACAGATCTTTTTGTGGACAGACAGCTTCACTTACCCTGTGGAAGTAGGTTATAAGGTTGATGTATGTTTGAAATTTATAAGAAACTACCAACTAGTTCTCCAGAGTGATTATAATATTTTACACTTTGGCATGAGACTTCCCCTTGTTCCATATGCTCACCAACATTTGGTATTTTCGGTCTTGTTGGAATGATAGATAATTGGGCGTTTTGCATTGGATCATTCACATTTCTTTCTTTGGTTGGTGCTGTCCAAGCACCTTTTCTTATGCTCACTGTTTTCTTTTGTGAAGTAACCTAATTTTTTTTTACCTATTTAGAAATGGAGTTATGAGTCTTATTGTTTTTGGTTTGTAGAAACTCATTACATATTCTGAGATGAGTTGTCTGTCAGATACATATTCTAGGGATATGTTTGTCCACTGAATTTCTTAATGATTTTATTGGTTCTTGTCTATGTCTGTTTTCTTTTTAATTGATCTCTACTCTTATTTTTATTATGTCCTTCTTATACTTTGAATTTAATTTTCTCTGCTTTTTCTAGAGTCTGAGAAGCTTAATCTAGAAGCTATATCATTGGTTTTACACCTATCTTTTTTTGGTACTGGAGTTTGAACTCAAGACCTTGCATTTGCTAGGCAGGCATTCTACCACTGGAGCCAGTCAATGAGCCCTTTTGCTTTAGTTATTTTCATAATAGAATCTTGCATTTATGCCTAGCACAGTCTGGACCCAGATCCTTCTGTTTATACTTCCTGCGTAGCTGGGATGACAGGTGTATGCTACCGCACCCAACTTTTTTATTGATTGAAGTAGGGTCTCAAGAACTTTTTGCCCAGGCTGGCCTCAAACCTCAATCCTCCCAATCTCACCTCTTGAGTAGCTAGGACTACATGTATGAGCCACAGCATCCAGCCTCTTCTTTTCTGATAAAGGAATTTAAAGCTGCATAGTTCCCTTCAAGCACAGCTGTACCTGCACCAGCAAATTTTGATATGCTATGTTTTCACTGTCACTCAATTCAAAAGTCTCCTTGCAAATTTTCTTCTCTGACTTATGGGTTAACTAAAAGCGTATTGTTTAATTTCCAAACATTTGAGATTTTCTAAATATATTTTTTTGAATTTTTAACTTTTTGCCATTATGGTCAGACTCTGTTTTATATCCCAGCACCTGGAGTATCTTAGTAGCCACAGAATGTGCTCTTGAAAAGAGTGTATTTTCTACAGTTGTTGTATGGTGTTTCATAAATATTAATTAGATCAAATTGGTTGATGCTGGTTTCTAAGTGTTTTATATCTTTACTGTGCCGTCCACTGAACAAGAATATTAAAATATTCCACTATGATTATAGTTCATCTGTTTTGCCCTTTAGTTCTGAATTTTTTTTTTTTTTTGCTTCAGGTATTTTAAACCTGTTACTGGATGATATATATTTCTGATTATTCTGTCTTCTAGATAAAGTAATCTTTGTATCATCATGAAATTTCCAACTTCTTATCTTTTTCCCACCCTTCTACTATAAATTATAGGGTACCTTTGTATTGAGGGTATCCTTTTTCATAAATAGCAGATAGCTGGATTTTCTTTTTTCAAGCCAGTCACTTAATCAAAAGAAATGCCTTATTTTTTATATCGATCCATGAACTGTGCGGACATCTGATCCATTGCCTGGTGTGCATCCTCTATATTTGCATACCCACGCTGCTGTGATAGACCACTGAGTTGTCTCCAACTCCCCCCACCAAAAACACTACTGCTGTGTGCATCCTTAGTTGGGGAAGAATCCCTGGGGGCGTTTACCTAGAGTAGAGTTGCCAGCTCAGGACCTGCCCGTCCTTTATTTGACTAAGGACTGCCACACTTAACAATACGTCCATATGCTGTTAGGATTGACTCACAGAGGAGGGGAAAAGATGAGAAAAGGGGAGCAAACTGCTGGAGCGACGTGCTAGAGTGGGTGAGAGGAGAGGAGACTCATGCCTGAGTGGAGGAGCAGTTCATCAGGGACAGGAGGGGAAGCTGTGTCTGGCCACATGCTCATAGGTGGGCAGGTGGGCTGGTAGAAGTTTGGGGAAGTTTTCTTCCATGGTTTCTGTCTTCCTGGTGGAATAGGAAGCAGCCTGAGAATGAAGAGGGGGGAAGAGGTACCAGAAACCTAAAGAGAAGGAAGATAGGAAGTTGTTATTGGGAGACTGGATGTGTGCTTGGATCAGGGAAAGAGCTGTGTGGTTTGGAGACCTAGCATGGAGCAGCCATGCACAGGACCTGAGCTCAGCACTGCTAGGCACGGCCAGCAGCGGCAGGGAGGCTGCTGTCAAAGAGCTCCCCCTGCAGGCGGGAGGTGGATGTGCATGTAATCACAGACTTCAGCATGGTGCCAGGGGAGACAATGTGGTGCCAGTACAGCAGGGCTCGCAGCAGGTGGGAAGGCAATGGCTCTCTAGTTATGAGAGCATGCTTCCCAGCAAGGGGTGGGTACTCCATGCTCTCTTGTCCACAGTTTTACTTTGCACTGTAAAAGTGATGCATGCCATACCAAAGGAAATTAGGAAGATTTTATGACACAAATCATAAATTAGAAAAAACACCTGAAATTCTGCCTCCCTCTCAAGGTGGCTGAGGTTTACATTTTGATGTATTGCTTTTAAGGGAAAGGTCTTGTCCCTGCCCTATGGGCTCCTGAGGTCTGACCTCCTACCCAAATGGAAACATACCCTTGCACTGAATGTGCCTGAGCATGCTGGACCAAGAAGGGCATCCTCCCCATTTCGGAGGAGTTCAGGGAGGGTTGCATGGTCTAAGAATGGGGTCTTGAAACTTGAGGTTCCCTTTTGCCTGTCACGCTGTCTTTTTCCTCCTGCCTCCCCTTGTTCATTGTCTCTCTGGGACAAGACCAGCTCAAACTCTCATTCCCCTGTGTGGCCGAGAGGTGGGCACGCTCGCCCAGGGTGAGATGAGTGGGGAAGGCCCACCATGAGGGAGCAGGGAAGCAGAACAGCCATGAGGAATGACTCCCTAGCATGCCGTTCAGCCATCGCCCCTCCCTTTATAGTGTGCACTGTGTGTGGCCGTACAACATAGTCATGCAAGGAGAGTTCCTGCACCCCCTAGTTTAGCCTATGCCCTGGTGTCACCCACACCACATGTCTTTCCCTTCTGGGTCTGTGTGTCCCTCCAGACAGCAGTGACAGTGAGCTGGAACTGTCCACAGTACGCCACCAACCAGAGGGCCTGGAGCAGCTTCAGGCACAGACCAAGTTCACCAAGAAGGAGCTGCAGTCGCTCTACCGGGGCTTCAAGAACGTGAGTGCTCCCCATGTTCTCATGAGAGGCTTACCCACCCAGCCCTCCCTGTGCCTAACTTTAAGCAGAAGGACTCTAGCCTGGGGAATCTTCTAGAAACTTATCCAGAGCACAGTGATTACCCCAGGGACTTTTGTGGGGCTCACATTGTATGGGAGAGCTATCTAGGGAGGAGGGGAACAGGTCCCAGAAAAGGTATTGTGAATGCCACTGCACTCCTTTCTCTGAGTCTCTAATGCTGTATCAGGTAGGGGAGTGTGAGGAACAGCTTTGCATAGGGGACCAGCCCCTGCCTTGCTGTCCACCCCTCTGCCTCTTGCCTGCCCCACCCAGACTTCTTCAGTCCAGGGCTAGGTTAGTGGGAGTCCCTCCAGAGGGTAAGGAGAGGCTAGGCCCTGTGGAATCAGGCATGGAGCTGGAGGATGGCTGAGGTTGCTGAGAGGGATGACTTCCTGCTGCAGGAGTGTCCCACGGGCCTGGTAGATGAAGATACCTTCAAACTCATTTACTCGCAGTTCTTCCCTCAGGGAGGTAAGTTCAAGACCAAGCCTCCCATGGTGCTCTCGAGCCCCCCACTGCTTTCCTTTCATAGGGAGGGGACCCTACAGTGACTCCCACCCACCTCGTCTCTGGGGGCCTGGTACTGCCTCTGTCCCATTGAAAGGGGGACTCCTACCCAGGGCAAAGCTGGAATCCCTGATGGGGCTGTCTGAGGGTGGGGGATGGGCTTCCAGGCAGCCCTCCCAACCCCAGCCTCGCCCTTGCTACCACCAGATGCCACCACCTACGCACACTTCCTCTTCAACGCCTTCGATGCTGATGGGAACGGGGCCATCCACTTTGAGGTACGTCCCTGGCAACCTCCCCACACGCTCCTGCAGCCTGCAGTGGTCTCATCACCCTGTGGTATATCTCCTCAGGGCTGTCAAGAGGGTCATGCACGATGCTGGGAGCCTGCCACCTGGGAAAGGAATGGACTGATGGCTGGCTTGGGGTAGGATTTTGCTGTCCAGACGCCCTGTTCTCAGCTTTCTCCTCCATTCTGGGAGATCACATCCAGCTCTGTCAACCAAGGGAGCTCTGAATGAGCACTGAGGTAGCAGTGACCCAGGGCAAATTTGCACTTTAAAAGGGGTCAGAACTCTGACTTGCTCTTGGTGGGATTTCAAGCCCCTTGCACCAGAATTCTCTCCTGGTTTCTGAGTAAACTGGCCAGAAACATCCAGAAAACAGCCTGAGAGTTCCAGGCAATCATCCCAGCTGTGAGTGAAGCCCAGTGTCCCCCAGGGTTTAGAAGGAGAAGCCAGCACCCCCACACACATACACTACCACCACCATACCAGATAGCTTCCCCCAAGGAGGGCCTCACCCAGGCTCCCAGTGAGAGTAGTGGCATCCGGGCCCTTCCCAGGCCTCGCCACACAAGATCATTTGAGAGAGGCCCCATCTGGAGCCCAGGCCCCTAAAAATAGCTGCAGGCGAAAAGCTGAAACCTCTTCAGAGAGGAAAACCTCACTGAAAGCTGGGCCTGATCGATCACTGCCCAGCTTGGCTCCCAGGGCCAAGGACAGCCGACAGGAAAGTGGCCGTGCAGGCACACAGCTCAGAAAGCCCTGGCCTCACCGCACTGGGGGTAATAATAACTCGCCGATAACGCTGCCTGGTTTATTTTTACACTGTGCCTGCCACACGCTGACACACCTGATGGGCCCCGCAGCTGAGGCCCAGGTTTTGCTCTGTAACCACAGACCCCTCCCTCTGGACCCTGAGGACCATTGCTTATGTGAGTGAGCACACAGTGTTGTCATTGCTTTTATTTTCAGTAACACCTGAAATACCAATGCCATAGCACACAAGAAAAATCCAATGCGTACAAAGGAGCAGAAGAGGAAAGACATGGTCTTCCCCTCCTCTCCTCTCTGACCAGTTTCCGGCCATTCCCTCCGGAGGCCAGGCCGCAGAGACTTGGGGGTGAGGGGCGGGAAGGTGTGAGAAGCAGCGCATTGTAATGGGCCCAGCTAGGGCCCTGTGAGACAATCTTTCTTGTTCAGTAATGAGCAGGGCCCCTCTATGCAGAGGATACTCAGGAAGGTCATGGTCACCCTCCCCACCTGCCTATGGTCATGTCTCTCACTTCCCCAGAGGGAGGGGAGTGGTAGTCCTCTAAGGTGTAAGTGGTGGGTCTTCATGGGAGCAGGGTCTGTCAGTGGCTGAGATGGGGCGCTGATGCTGAAGCTGGGCACCATCTCAGGAGCTCATTTATTCCTGGTGTCTTCCAGAGCCTCTGGTTTTTGTCTTTGTTTTTATCGGTCTCTTGAGGGCTCCGGGAAGCCTTTTTTCAGGAAAGAGGGGGCACAAATCCCTATGTCCCCATCCTTAGTGAACCATGAATCAGGATATGAGGGGTGGAAAGGATCCTACCAGGGCAGGAGGTCGGGTTCTGGTCTGGCAGATGCTTGTCACAACTCACTGCCAAGCCTCAGAACCTTCCATGTGTCCTTAAAGTGGAAAGTCAAGCTGTCTTATCAAAGCTTACGATGATTCCAAGCCTTTTGCATGTGCTTAAAGGTAAGACATACTAATTACAGTTTATTGGTACAATAAAATATTAAATATTATAGCTTCCATTCCCTCACCAAAATGAGAACAACAACAAAACAGCAAAACTGGCAAACCTCAGCAGACCTCAGTGGGAGAAGTGGTCCCATGTCCTACCTCATGTCTGGCATCTGTTCTTGGCCTGATGCTCTGAGATCTGCTAGCAGGAGGGAGCCTGATGTCAGTTTCCCCTCCATGCAGGGTGGGCACCCCCATGTGCAGTCTGGGGGTCTTGACTGGAAACTTGGAGTCACTGCAGGAGATCTGCACCCTCCCTGAGTGCTCCGTGGGACAGCTACAGAGCTACAGAGCAGGGCTGTGGATATGATAGACTTCCTACATCTCAGAGTTAAGAGCAATTGGTGACAACTGGCAGTGGTCAAACGTGAAATTGTGCTGTGCATGGTTGGAGGTTTTTAGAAGTAGCATGCATTGAGACCAGGAGCTGGTTAGATTTGGAGTTCCTTTTACAAACAAGGTGTACAAGTGGCCTTGAAGGGGACCTTCCCACCTACTGTCTCCTAGTACTGTCACTTCTTAACACACACATTAAGGGACACTGAGCAGGGACATTCCTCAGTTGTTAGCACCAGGCTGTGTGGCTGAATATGAGGGCTTCTGCGAAGACCAGATGGGAGAAGGGTTCTGGCATCCACTTAGGGCCCAGGATGGGTGCTTGACCTCCCACCTGAAAAGCCTGTCAGAACCCAGGGAAGAGGGAATGACATGACTTCATAGATAACTGACTCTTCCTTGCTTCTCTACACCGTGCCCAGTTTCAGTGATGGCCATTCCCCAAACTCGGCCACATAAGAAATGCTGTGTGGTTTCCCTTTTGAGTGTTTTCTTTGCCTTTCCTCTTGTACACACCTGACTTAAAAGCCCAACAGATTTGCAGGGTATGCTTTGGGGAAGCTTCAGTGATCCCCTGGCCCTGTTTTAACCAGATGGGAGCATTTGCCTTAGTGTCCCCCAGGGTTCTTCTTAGACATTGCATCTCAGGCCTCCCTTGAACAACACATTTCCCACCTCCCACTTACCAACAGATGGATTCTGACTCCAATTGGATAAGGACTCAGTTTACTCTGCTGATGTGAGTCCAATCCCCAGTGGAACCTAGCAGTCAACTGCCATATGTTTTCCTCTCCTACACAAGTTGTTATTTGCCTACAGTTAGCAACAGTGCAGATTTCTTCCCTGGCTGGTTGTCTGTGACCTCATCATTCATTCAACCCCAGGCCTTCTGTTCACAAGAGTACCTGGCAGCTCCCACAGGATGAAGCTTCCAGACTCCATGGAGCTGGGTGTCCCCTCTCGCATCCCCTAGTTTGGGGATCCCTTACCTTCCTTCCTGGTTTTACTGTTTTCCAGAGGCACATCTTCCTCCAAAAGGGTATGTGGGAGGCAACTTTTGAGCCCTTGGGTGTCTGGAAGTGTATTTAGTTCTCACCCTTGCTCCATATGTTTTGAGGTCCAGGGTGGTGGCAGGAGTTGTTCCATTGGCTTCCTGCCTCCAGGGTTGCTGTTCAACAGCCACTGCTAATTCTGATCCTATCTGGGAGACCCAAGTTTGTTTTCTTCTGTCTGGTTTTGCTTTTCTTTCTGGAAGCTGAGAGGTCCTTTCTTGGCAGCCAGTTTTCTAGAATTTTACTCTGACCTATGCCTGGGGGCCCAGCTGCAACTGACTTCATGTGTTGTGCCAGCCAGAGGGTGCTGGGAACCCACCACCTTTCATTCTGGGAAATCGTTCATGATTTTTTTTTTTTTTGACACACATTCCAGCATTTTCTCTGGTTCTCCTGGATGTCCTGATGTCTTCATGGTGGACTCTCTGGAGCATACCTCTCAGTGTCCACTTTCTGGGGTGTCCTCTGTGACTTCTCCTCCCACTTTGTGGGAGACCCCACTTGCTCTTCCAACCCTTCTTTTGTCATTTTTAATTCCAAGAGCTCGTTCTGGTTTCCAGTTATCCCTCTCTTTTAAATAGCATCCTATTCTTATTTTAAGTGTTAGAAGTACCATTCCCAAATGGTGATCAAAGAAACCCATGGGAGTCACCCAGCAAGGTAAAAAGAAAAGTTTTACTTCTGCAGAAGAGTTCAGGCCACAGACCATAGTCTGATAGGCAGAACACGCTGAGCCAGGGAGTCAGCCCACTTTTTATCTCTTTGCCCCTCACCCTGATGGACGGGTTTGGGTTCACAATCTTGATTGGCTCAGTGAGAAAGTGATTTCTTAAGGTCCCCTGAATATAAGGGATGGGGTTGGGGGTGGAGGTGAGAGAGTTAACATTTCACTCATCAAGCAGTTTGAGATTAGGGCATCTGGCAGTAAATAGCTCTTTGACTGCAAGAATCTTGCAAGGTCAAGCAACTTTTCACAAAGCATGTAGGCAGCAACTGGGGAGGTTAGCTGGCATCTACACAATGATAGTTATACATTGACTCCTTTGACAGGAAAGACCTAACGATTCTCACATAAGGAATGCAAGATTTCTAATCTCTGAATCTAATGGTTTTTGTTAAGTTTTTCCACTGGAATAATTTTTCATTTTTCTAAATTGCTTTTGTCTGTGCCCCTTGGTCTTTCTGTGATGCAGACTTCCTCACAGCCAGAAAATCTAATATTGAATCAGTACTGAGTCATTTGTGGCCCGGCCCTGCCCCTCCACCATTGGCTTTCTCCCACTTCTCTGCACTAACAGGGAAGATTTAACTCTCAATGCTTCCAGAAAGTGGGAGAAAGACTTGCTTTCCACCAACTGCTATAACAAAACAGTTTGTGCACAGAAACCATGTGAACAGTCATGTCTTGTCACAGGAGTAATACATTATTGGCCACACCCTACAGGTGATGGCAGCCCATAGTTATGGTTCAGGAGTTGAGCATCATTAGTTTAGCCGATTAAGCTGAAAGTTTTTAAGCACCTTCAACACACAGAAGCTCGGTGAACAAAGAGTAGAGCATATCTCCGCCAGTGGCTCACACCTGTAATCTGAGCTACTTGGGAGGCTGAAATCGAGAGGATTGTGGTTCCCGGTTGGCCCGGGCAAAAAAGTTTGGGTATAGTGGTACGTGCCTGTCATCCCAGCAAAGGGCAAGAAGCTTAAAATAGGAGAATCATGGACCATAAAGTAAGATTCTATCTCCAAAATAATCAGAGTAAAAAGGACAGAGTTATGGCTCAAGCAGTAGAGTGCAAGTACTGCCAAAAAAAAAAAAAAAGCACTCCAAAAGCATAATAGCACACACCTATAATTCCAGCTACTTGGAAAGTAGAGGTAGGAGCATGGTTCCAGGAAAAGTGGGAGACCCTATCTGAAAAGCAAACTAAAGCAAAAAGGGGTGGTTGAGCACCTACCTAGCAAGCAGAAGGCCCTGAATTCAAGCCTTAGTACCACCAAAGAGAAAAGAACACCCCAGTTCCTTTAAACTCAGCAACAATGCATGAAATAAGTCCAAGACACTTGATTTCAGTATCAGCTACCCACACACATGCCCACACACACACGTGCAGATACACATATGTGCACTCACATGCACACGCTAATACCATGTCAACCTGAATGGATGCTATCTGCCGTGCTGCTGCAGAGGTGCCTCACTTGTAGAGGTGTGAGTTTCAATGGCATCCAGCCACTCCACAAACTGGAAAAGAACCCAGGCATTGGGTTGTCATTCTTCACCCTCCCTTTCCTCTGCAGGACTTTGTGGTTGGACTGTCCATCCTACTGCGAGGAACAGTCCACGAGAAGCTAAAATGGGCCTTCAATCTCTACGACATTAACAAGGATGGCTACATCACCAAAGAGGTACTGGGGTGGCAGGGGTGGTGGCCAACCTGTCCCTCCTGCCACTCCATGCCCCATCGTTCTACCTCCATCTCTCCTGTGTCACTGATCTGGTGGCTCTCAGCCTGGCCTCTGGACACAGCAGCCAGTGGAAAGTCCTCCCATCTAGGTTGGGGGTCATGGACACCTGGAAATGGGTATGGTCTTTGGTGCCACCCACCACACATCTTCATCCAGCCCAACAGGTGCTCTCTGTAACCCTTGCTTATGAAGAGGCCCTGCGGGAGACTGTGGAGACGATGGAGGCCAGGCCTTGGCTCCTCCCAAAAGAGGAGGAGGGGTGCAGATAGGACCTCACCACGTAGTTTTGTTTAGCCCAAACTTTTTTTTAATTTGAAATAGTCGCTATAGTTTAGCGATTGAGAAATAAAAATCTATCCCCAACTTCTCTTGGAGAAGAAGGTGCTGGGTAGACCTGAAAGGCAAGCTTGTCTCTCTCCAGCTGCTATGGCCCTGGAGATGGCTCCTGCTGTCTGAAGCAACCCCCTCCACTGGGGCCCTCAAAGCCCCCAGTGTCTCTACAGCTGGCTCATGCTAGCCCTCTTGTCCTTCCACTCCCAGGAGATGCTGGCCATCATGAAGTCCATCTATGACATGATGGGCCGCCACACCTACCCCATCCTGCGAGAAGATGCCCCCCTGGAGCACGTGGAGAGGTTTTTCCAGGTGAGTGAGCCCCGACCCTGGGGGAGGGGAGCCTGGCAGAGGAAGGAACTCTTGTTTTGTGGGCCACCCTGGGCAAGCCACCTGCCCTCACTGAGCCTCCCCACAAGGACGTACAACTTGGCTCCCCACCCTGGCTAGTGGTCAGACTCTCCTAAAGAGCAAATTGGAAAAATAGGCCCTGCTCCAGCAAACTCCATCTCAGGGCAGGCAGGTAGGAGCCTTCAGGATTGTGAGTCCCTAGGCAGCTGAGGCCCCTCCAGAAACAGGGAATTCCAGCTCCCCAGGGAGTGGAACTGCAGGACAAGTGGTATTGGGGTTGCCTTTGTTCTGTATTCCCGGGGGCTGAAGGAACTAAAGGCTCCAGCTCTCACTTGCCAGGCCCTATAGGCCTGTAGCCATCCTGTGCCTCAGTCATTCTCTCTGCCCTGGCTGCCCCTCCAGGAGGTGAGGGCATCAGGTGAGCATGGAAACACATCCTGGGAGGTGTAAGCCCAGGTAGACCATCAGGGAAGTAGCTGAATGGGGGAGACCAGGGAGATGCTGGGGAGGTCAGCCATGGGGCAGAAGGTGGCTGTGGGGGTAGCTTTGCATATCCAAGTGGGGGCAGAAGGGCAAGTTGGATTGGAGGAAGTCCACTATCCACCCACTGAAGCATCCTCAGGCAGGGGTCAAGAACCACCCCTGGTATGCCCACAATACACTCACCTTGGGTATCACCTTGGGTATGGCTTGGGTTGCAGAAAATGGACCGGAACCATGATGGGGTGGTGACTATTGACGAGTTTCTGGAGACCTGTCAGAAGGTAGGTGCCATCAGGGAGCTGGTGGATACCTCTGCAGGCTCTGGGAGAAGATGGGTGGCTGAGGCTCTCACCTCATACACACATATCTGGTCAGCTATCCTCGACCCCTCCCCACCTCCTGGGCAGCTGGGTCAGGAGAGGCTCCAAGTTCCACATTCACTGTTTCCTCTGAGTACATCTCCTCCTGGTCCCTGCCCCCTGCCCACTCTTGCCAACCCACAGCTCACCTCCCTACCCATCCCCCTAACAGACCTCCCTCAGCCCTGCCTGTGTAGCACCTCTAGAGAGGGTCACGCTAGGGCATAGGCACCCAAAGCCTCCCCAAGATTGCTGCAGGCCCTTCTCTAAGAACCCTTGACCCCATCTCCACTCCAGCTTCACCCTGCCCCACTCCCAGACAGCCATCTGGACATGCAACCAGGGAGGTCTCTGTCTGCTGGTGATTACCAAATGGGTTTTCAGTCAGGCCTCAGGGCTGAAGATAGGCTGTGCCTTGCCAGCTACAGGTGGGGCAGGGGTGTGTGCTTGGGACCGCTCCTTCATGTCTCTGCTTCTCAGCACCCCATCCACCCAGTGAGACCCAGTCCAGGACAGGAATCTGTTTGGGCAGGTGCTGCCCACCCAGCACCTGATCAGGCCTCTCCTCCTCCTCTCTCCACACAGGATGAGAACATCATGAGTTCCATGCAACTGTTCGAGAATGTCATCTAAGACATGTGGGAGGGGGACCCTGGGTGACCATTGCCTCTCCACCCCCAAGAAACTTCAATCCTGCCAGGAACAGCCTCCATGAGAAACTTTTTTTCTAATGTATTTGCAAAAGTGAGCGGTTTGCTCCCAGGACATACACCATACACACACACACACACACACACACCAGGACATACACCATACACACACACACACACACACACACACACACACACACGGTTCCTCTGGGCTGGCAGAGAGGAGCAGAAGTCAGGAGGGCACTGCCCCTGCCAGCCATCCCCAAGCCATTGGGGTGAGACTTCCTTTTGGGGTAGGCAGCCAATCTACCAGCTGCTGGATGTGACTCAAAAGAAAGGGGTTCAAGAGCAGGTTTAGGAGTGGTCTCCACTGCAAAGATCCCTACTTGTGAGGGCCCCTCTCCACTCCTTTCCAACCACACAGTGGGAGGGATAGGGGGGCAGGCCACTCCCTGCCCATAGACCTGCACCCCCAGAGAGCCCCTCACCACAGGACCCTGGAAGGGCCAACCGGGGTCAAGGGGTTTTGACTAGGGAAGAGTTGGTGATGGGGCAGAGCCTGCTGTTTCCTGGAAGTACTAGCCTGGGGTCCCAGGACCCTGTTGTTCCATGCACCTGGTGGACCTGTGCAAGGCCACCTCCTGTGAGGTGAGCTTGGGTGGTGAGGGACTACTGGGCTCCATCCTTCTTCCATCCCAGGACAGGGATTAAGTCCCTTGTAAGAGAATCTGAGGGGACGGTTTGCTGGCTCCATGGGATTGGGTGCTGCCTGGGTCGGAATGCAGGGCATGGGGCTTCCCTGCCTCATCACTGGACCGTACTCCCTAAGGTCCTCTCAGATGCTGGGAGGAGTTCATGTAGCTCAGAGACTGGCAGCCAGGGAGCCCGGGGGACTGTGCCATGTGGGGCTTGGTAAGGGGCTTCCATCTCCTCTTCCCTGCCATCCACCTGTGCACCTTGGTCCAGTAGCTTGGCCAAGCCCTTGTCCTGAAGCTCTGTGGCCCTCACAAAGGCTCACTCCAACTTGTACAAAAAGCACAAGCACCCCGTCAGCTCAGGCTTCACTCACAAGGGGAGCCAGGAATTCTGTTTTTTCAAAGCAAGGCCCTTCTGGTGGGCTGAGGTCTGCATCCCAGCAGTCCCAACACGGTGGCCCTGAGGAAGAAGCTTGGGGGGCAGGGTCTGTCCTTTGCCTCAGCCATGGGATCTTGAGGGCCAGCCCCAGCCCACCTCACCAACAGTCAAAAGCACAAACCCTGGGACTCTGCTGGGCTGGGCTCTGCCCTTGGGATGGAGACCCATGTCAACTTGAAGCTGGAGCTAACAGTGAGGGCTGGGGGTGGAGGGTGGGTGCCAGCAGTGGCCAGGCAGCAGGTGGGTCAGGAGGAGAGAGCTGCTGCTCTGACCTGCCCAGGCCTCCCCGAGAAGGAGCCCAGTCCTGTCCCAGGCACCACGGGCCTTCCAAGGAACATTCCCACACGATACATTCCATCTCCGTGGCCCCATCTCTGCTCAGGCCTGGTTTCTGGAGTCCTGGTTGCCCCCAGGAGGATGGCCCCAGGTGAGCAGGGTCCTCAGAAAAAAGGCAGGATGACTGAGGCTGTGGGAGCTCCATGGCTTCCACATTGTAGGTGGGCCTCCCCCTCAGACTTGCACTGACACTCCATCTCCAGTCTGACTGGGGAGGTCCCTCTCCCCCCTCCCCCAGAGGGTATCAGCTTTCCCTGGCTCAGGGATCTGAGGGAGGGTCTCAGGGTCCCTCTCTCCCCTTCCCCAGCCCAGCCCTTTCAGCTGGGGTTGCTGTGCTTGTAAGGGGCCAAGGCCACAAGAGAGGGCCGCCACCATGCCTCTGCCCCCTTGGCCTTGTGGCTGCACATCCAACAAAGAGGGGTCTGTCTCCCATGCTGGGATGTAGACCTGCCGCATGTCTGCATGGCAGAAGAGTCTCCCTCGGCCGCGGCCTGGGAGGATGGTTCCTGTCGCAGTGCCCACCGATATTCAGTCCTATATATTTTAATAAAATAAATTTGACAAAGGAAAGGGACTGTCACTGGCTTTATCTCAACTCTGAACCGTCTAGCCTCTCCCATTGTGCCATAGCTCTGGCCCAGGTAAATGTGGACAGCTGGCTCTGAGGAGGAAATGCCCTGAAACGCTGAAGCTCCTAGTGTGACACCACTGAGGCTGAATGAGTCAGGAAGAGACAGATGCACACAGTTGGCCCTGGGGACCCTTTACCAGAGGTTACAGTGCTGAGCCTAAGTGCAAAGCTGGTGGAACCGAGTGGCTTCTTGAGGTGCCATTTGTATTTCATGTCCAGAGCTTTTTTCTTTCCCACTTCCAGGAAGTCAGTTCTGGTTGTCCCTTGGCTGGAGGGAGCAGGTCATAGGAGCAGAAGGAAGAAGAACATGCCTGAAAACATGGTCCTTTTCCTGGTTATTTTCAAGAGTTTATTGTTGTCTTTGTTTTGCAGAACTCGGCTTACACCTTGAACCACTCCACCAGCCCTTTTTTGTGATGGGTTTTCTTGAGATAGGGTCTTGCAACCTATTTGTCCAGGCTGGCTTTGAACCTCAGTCCTCCTGATCTCTGTCTCCTAAGTGGCTAAGATTATAGGCGGTGAGCCACTGGCGCCCAGCTTATTTTCAAGAGTTTAAATTTGTGAGAGTTATGCCTGGGGAGGGGAAGAGAAAAGGGTAAGCCATGCCTCACCTGAAGATAGATGAGAAAATCAATGGCATTGCTGTGATTTGAAGCTTTTTTGAAAAAATCTTATTAGCATATATTAATTGTAAAAGGGGGTTTAATTGTGTTATTTCCATACTTGCATATAATGTACTTTGGTTATATTCACCCCCTCTATTACACTTTCTTATCCTTGAGGTGGATTTTGGGTTTGGTTTTGGGTTTGGTTTGTTTGTTTTTTGGTGGTACTGGGTTTGAACTCAGGGCTTCATGGTTGCAAAGCAGGCACTCTACCACTTGAGCCACCCCTCCACCCATTTTGCTCTGGTTATTTTGGAGATGGGGGATCTCAAGAACTATTTGCCTGGGCTGGCTTTGAACTTAAATCCTCCCCATTTCAGCTGCCCAAGTGGCTAGGATTATAGGTATGAGCCACTAGCACCCAGCTTGGGGTGGTTTTGACACAGAACTAGATAATGGAAAAATTAATTCAATGAAAAAAAAAAAAAAACAAGCATCATGCACAGCCCTGAGATGTTAGAAGCTCCACTCGGAAGTCAGGCACTGGTCAACAGGCATCACAAGTGCGCATGCAGTTGGGGCTATCTTGATGGAGACACTGTGGCTGACCCCAAAGCCTGTACTCTTTCTGCACAAGACAGAGTAGTGGTAGGTTTCAGAGCAATGAATGAGTGTGACATAAATGACTATGAGAGAACACAACAATTCTGTACCACATTTAAACATTACCCATAGAGCACATGGGAGGAAGGACTCACTTCTGCCTGGAAAGTGGGAGCTTCAGGATGGAGGGCCTGTGATTGGTTATGGCTGAGAACTCCATTTAACAGGAAGGTGACACCTTGCAAGTGGTCCCACTGCACAGAAGAGAGATGAGAACTGTGGGGAAATTCCAGCACTCCACCATCCCGCCCAGAGCTGATCTCAAGCACACGGGGTGGGCAGCAGCTCCCCATGTACCCTTGTGAAATAGTCATTGAGAGTGGAGGCTCTGAAACCAGTCTGGTGCATTCAACCCCCAGCTCACCATGTACCAGCTGTATGACCTCAGGCACATGTTTGTGCCTCAGCTTCCTCATCTGTGAGACAGGCACACAGAGAGAGCCTGCACTACAGAGCCAGGCTTAAATGAACACAGGATGTTCAGCCCCAACAGTGGGGTCAGATCATCTGTGTTCTGGTATAGGGGAGGCATCCATTCCTTGCTCCAAAGGCTGCTTCTGTGAAACATGGGTGCTCTGTGCCTCTGTCTCTGTCCTGTGCAGTTTTCCTGCTCCTACACACCCCTCTCTGTCATTCAAGGGCACACACCCACTGCCCCTAGAGGACCCACTTGGTCTGAAAAGTGCTGTTCCTTCTGGGTGTGGCTTCCCCTCCCCCTAACCTCCCCTTCCCCCCCCACCCCGTCACATCTTTTCCCACCTATGGATTGGCTGCCCTTGGGACAGGTGTCAAGGCTGGTCCAATCAGCTCTGGGTGCCAGGATGATGCAGAGTCTAGTCTATAATGGGGTGAGAGCTGCCCAGGGTAGTGGGTATGGGGGACACGGAGGGAGACCTCCTCCCCTCCACCCTGCTCTGAGGGTAGAGAAGAAGCTATGTCCTCTATTCACATCCCTGGTAATTCCTTAACACCTGCCATGCTTCCAAAGGCCTTATGACATCTAAAGCATGCTTTCATTCTGAAACCTGCTCAAGATTTGAGATGTCACTTTACCTCACTGAGCCTCTGTTTCCTTATCTGTAAAATAAAGAGAAAAAATCCTGATAGAACTGTTGGAATAATTCAACATGCATAGTTACTAGTCTTTTAATAGATGTGGCCATCCTTCCTTCCTATCCATTCAAGTTTCCATGTGTTTTTTTCCCCTTTTCTATAGAAAGATGACTCAAACCAATAAGCCATCAGAGAACGGATAGATAGTTCAGAAGAGTTTCCGGGTCTTGGAAATAAATCTGTGATGGTTCCCAAGTTTCCTTGATAACTCCAAGGCCAACATGAGGACCAGCCAGCTAAGAAAGGGCAGTCTGTGCCAGTCAGACCTCAATAGTTGACTCATGGTCCACACAGCCCACCCTGGTGCCACCACTCTCTGCATAGCCAAGCTGACCAGCCACAGACAGGAAAGAGGATTCAGGGAAAATACTGAGCCTTCCATGGGCCTACCTTTTCTCCTTCACCCCACAACTGAGAGAGTTGGGTCCACCCAAAAGGAGAATAGAATAATCAGATTCTGAAAATGGCCCCTGCAGGGATCACGCTGGTTATGTGCTTTCATAGCAAAGACAAATAAGGACACAAATGGGACCCAGAGCTCACACGCAGCCCGAGTTAAAAATGTGACAGCTTCAAACACATCCTGCTCTCAGATGCAAACAAGTGACTACCTCCTGAAAACCTGCCATACCTTAGTAGCCAACACTGACCAATGAGCTGCCTACAATTGATATAAGCATGAACCAGTCAGGATTGGACTCCATCTACAATTTTGAAT